ATATTTAAAATGTGTAATACCCTGTAGGTGGATATTGCAATTTGCATGAAATGGTGAACTCCCCTTATTTTTATTAACAGTAATAAACATGTCAGAGACTAATCTAACCATCAGAATAATCTAATCATCATAAAATTGACTTGCCATCAGACAAGTTATCGTTTCAGTGTAAATAGTAAATAGAGTTCACTGGTGCATACTAGTAGCTGTATTCAGAATGCACAATAAGAACCAGGGTATTAATCACTTGCCCCAAGCTCTGATGTGGCTACCTATGGCAGAGACAAGTTATATTATTATTACTTACTAATTTGTTTCTGTGCACTTTTTTTCCAGGTTGATTTGGCACATCAGCAGCTTCAAATTCATGGTTCAAAAGCTAGTGATGGTACCATGTTACCAAGCGCAGCATGGAGAGATAGATGTGCCCTTATATTAGGGAAGAAAGTAAGTGTTTAGTTTGTAAAAGAAAGTACAAGTGATGTAAGTTATTTATAAAAACAGTCACTATACCATACATACACTACAGTATATATATTGTTGATGCCAGAGTACAACACTAAATATAACTAAGTGTTTGTCAACCTAATTTTTGTACAGCACTCATGTGTATAGGCCTGCATGTATAACTAATTGCCTTTTAATCACATTTTTATGGTATTATACAATTACTTTTGCAGAGAAAGGCAATGACAGAGATATACAGTGTGGCAGCGTTGCCGGAGAATGGTTACCAGCTTTTCAAGAGTATATGTAGTCAGTATGAGAAAGGGAGGTTGAAAGATCAACGGGCCCTTCCTAAAGATCTGAGAGGAAAGCCTACTCTCAGACCTGCCTATGTTAGATGTCTTCATGGTCTGGATAATGTTGACAGAATTGAGCTGTTAAACAAGGTTAATATTAATAGTATACTAGGTGTTCTGGAAACCATTTGCAGTCGAACCCAGAGATTTGTCTTTGGCAAATTTGTCATCAAAATGCATGACAAAGTTGCCTCAGCGGACCATATAAATAACCCTTAATGTAGTTTTGGTATCTATGCAGCAGTTGTTAACATGGATACAGTATTTCATTACATAATAAAGGATGAACTGGTGATTTGTAATATAAAGAGTCGTTGTTTATAATAATTACAATTGTTTTCAAGGTTGCGAAGGGAGACATTAGTCTTGATGAGCTGAAAGTGTTGGCAAAAGAGCTAAAAGCAATTAGACCTATCCAAGGGATAATCTCTTCTTTCGTTGGAAAACCATGGGAGATTATTGCAAAAGAACTTCCAGAGTGCACAAAAGCAGAACAGTTACTTTGTTTTGCTGTAAGTTGTACAAACCATAGTACACTAGTGATGATATTTCAAGTTGCTCAATTATTGTACTAACTGAATTATATATGTTTACAATTTTTTAGGCATTGTCAAAGGGGTAATTATGTAAAGCAGTTTTCACATTTATAATACAAATATTTTATACTTTCAGGGAAAAGATGCTACACACTGTGTGTTTAAGAGTTATCTCCAGGAACTCTTGAAGAAATTGGAGGGCAGCAATAACGATGATACAATTTTGTCTCCAAACGTATTTAAGACCGAAGAGAACCACCAAGGAATCATTGTCAGATGCACCCAAGGTCGATTGAATGCTGAGCAAAGTGAATGTTGTCAAAGAGACAGTGCTGGCTATGCAATGGCGCTTTATGTTTTGGAAGATATCTATGGAAATGATACTGAGGTAATAAACGTACTTGCAATTGTGGCTTCTTGCGTGGGAAAACTCTAAAGTAATTACCACACGCAATCACTATCGTCAAAGACTGCATAGAAGCGTGGCATATAAATATGAGTAATCATGCTTTGAATAAGGATGGTGGATACATGAAACTGTTTTTCATGCTGTTGGTCTGTGGTTGGGAAACAATTTAAGACAATTTCAAATATTTCGAATTTTTTTTACTTACTGAATGATCTTAATTTCTAATGTTATAGAAGTTGTCTAACCTTTTACAAAAGGTTGTATGCCTTGTTGAAAGGACCAACTTTGGAGTCAGGCAGACTTACAACTTGGTCCTGATCGGCGACGTAGAAACTGTTGTTCAGTGTAAAAAATGGTTCAACAAAAACAGAAGTAAAAATGTCGAAATGGGATTTCTTCACTGTGATAATGTCAAACCATCAGGTACAGTATTTATAGTATTTGACCGATTGACTGACAATGGCCCAAATGTGTCTGACTTTATTTTTTACTTTGTTTAACACCAGGTAATTTTAGTTGTCAATGTGTCACAGTGCGTCCGGGAGCTGAATGTGCTAACATTCTCTGTCTGTGAATCTCTCTTGTTAAACCATTGACTGGCAATGCGCCCCACTTTATTCGTGAAGTTGTGGATTGCACTGTGTCTAATATTTTACCTTTGGTTTAGGGAACCTTGGTATGGTGCAGTCAGTTAGCGGTTTTATGGTGTACCATGCTTCTGTTGGCGATAGATTACTGCCTGACCATTTAAACTTTGGTGACAGTTGTCCATCCAACTTACTAAATCTAGGACAGAGAAGTGAATGTGATTGGCTAAAAGATCTGATAGGAATGTTTAGCCATGAAGGTGACTGGGTCTTGGATATTAACTCTTCACAAGGTAAGCATAGTAATTAATGCCTGTTGATATATATATATATATATATATATATATATATATATATATATATATATATATATATATATATATATATATATATATATATATATATATATATACATATATACATATATACATATATATATATATATATATATATATATGCATGCATGCATGCATGCATGCATGCAAAGCACCCAATTGTTTACAAACACAGTCTAATATCTTGTATTTGTAACTTATTACAGGCAATGCAGTTGTTGCTGCAGTTGGTATAAAGCGAAACGGTCTTTATATGGCCGAGTCTGATAATGAAGAATTCCTCACGAAAAGAAATTTCAGAAAGCTCATGGAGGGCAAGTAGAACAATTAGAAGCCATTAGTATTTGTAAATGTAATAAGAGTACTTGACTTTCATGTTTATAGCAAGTAAAACAATTATAAGTCTGTTGAGTTCGTAGATGTTAATAGAGTACCTGACTTTCATGTTAAATATATTTATATTATTTCAAGAATTAAACAGTTTCTAAACCTGGCATGCACATGAACTTCTTAACCTTTTTCTGTTAACTTATAGGATTCTAATAGAACCTATTGCCTTGTAAGGGGGGTCAGAAATTCTGAGTCCCATGTCTCAATATTTATAATTTTTGCATTATTTTGCAGAATTTTATGTTGCAGGGTTCAGATTTTCTGAGAACTTTTTACAATATTGGGACCTAAAGCCTTCATAAATCATTTTAGTATTTGCCTTGTAAGGGGGTTAGAAATTCTGAGCCCCATGTCTCGAGATTCATCATTTTTGCACGATTTTGCAGAATTCTATGTTGCAGGGTTCAGATTTTCTGAGACCTTTTTACAATATTTGGGCCTAAAGCCTTTAGAAATCACTTTCGTATTTTGGCTTCTGAGGGGTTCAGAAATTCTGAACTCTGTGTCTCAGTATTTATAATTTTTGCATGATTTTGCGGAATTCTATGTTGTAGGGTTCAGATTTTCTGAGACCTTTTTACAATATTGGGGCCAAAAGCCTTCAGAAATCCCTTTAGTAAATGGCTTGTAACGGGTTCAGAAATTCTGAGCCCCATGTCTCAATATTTATCATTTTTGCATGGTTTTGCGGAATTCTATGTTGTAGGGTTCAGATTTTCTGAGACCTTTTTACAATATTGGGGCCAAAAGCCTTCAGAAATCCCTTTAGTAAATGGCTTGTAAGGGGTTCAGAAATTCTGAGCCTCATGTCTCAATATTTATCATTTTTGCATGGTTTTGCGGAATTCTATGTTGTAGGGTTCAGATTTTCTGAGACCTTTTTACAATATTGGGGCCAAAAGCCTTCAGAAATCCCTTTAGTAAATGGCTTGTAAGGGGTTCAGAAATTCTGAGCCCCATGTCTCAATATTTATAATTTTTGCATGATTTTGCGGAATTCTATGTTGCAGGGTTCAGATTTTCTGAGACCTTTTTACAATATTGGGACCTAAAGCCTTCAGAAATCCCTTTAGTATTTGGCTTGTAAGGGGGTCAGAA